ATAGTGTCTCACCGGTACTCGACCTATAAGTTGTTCAATATGACCATAAGACCTCGGGCAGAATTTCTTTCCACTTTTGTTTTGAGTCGGCCAACCTTTTCTTCAGGCTTTGTAGTATGGTTTTGTTAGTCGACTCAACTTGACTGTTCGCGCTCTAGTGATTGGCGGTTGATAAAACCTTTTTGATTTTGTGATCTTCAAAGAATTTATTGGACTTGTTGTCGATGAATTGTCTCTCATTGTCACGTGTAATTCCATCTGGTATCCTGAACCGGCAGATTATATGATCCCAGATGAAGTCGATGACCTCCCTTTCTCTAACTTTCTCAAATGCTCGAGCTTCAACCCACTTGGAGAAGTAATAGATCATGAGCAAGATATACTGAGCCTTACTAGGTGCTCGCGGTCAAGGACCTACGATATCCATTCCCCACTTTATGAACGACCAAGGGGAAAAGACCGGGTGAAGCAGCTCTCCTGGTTGGTAGATCATCAGGGCATGCCTTGACATTCGTTTCATTGTTTAACAAAGTCCTTCGCATCATTTTCCATTTTGTTCCAGTATTACCCGGACCTGATCAATTTCCGAACCAATGATTCCGCTCCTGAATGGTTTCCTCAAGTCCCCTCGTGGACCTCCCTCATCACATAATCGGTCTCCCCGGGCCCTAAGTATCTTGTTAGTGGTCCGAAGAATGACCTTCAATACAGTTGGTCTTCAATCAAGCAAAACCTGACAGCTTTAGTTCAAAGGGCCCTTGTTTCTTTAGGATCGATGGCAATATCCCCTTCTGAAGGTAATCCACATACTTGTTTCGTCAGTCCATAGTCAAACTCATTGAGTTTACCTCGGTATGGCCAGACTCAATCACTAATCTCATTAATTGCACTACTGTTCCGGAGTTGAATTCATCTAAGTTGATTGATGATCCTAAATTAGCCAACGTATCGGCCTCGTTGTTTTTATCTCAAGGCACATGGTGTAACGTCCATTCTTTGAACCGATGTAACACTACTTGTAATTTATCCAAGTATCTCTGCATCAGGTCTTCTTTGACTTTAAACGTTTCGTTAACTTGGTTAACAAAGAGGAAGTAATCGCACTTGGCTTCGATCACCTCAGCCCCCAGGCTTTTAGCCAGTTATAGACCTGCAATCATAGCCTCATACTCCGCTTTATTGTTAGTCAATTTCACAGTTCTAATAGATCTCCTTATTACATTACCTATGGATAGTTTTAATACGATTCCCAAGCCGAACCCTTTTTCGTTTGAAGCACCGTCCGTGAATAGGGTCCAGACCCTCGAGCTAGTTCCCGAGGTAAGTAATAATTATTTATCGACCTCAGGGATCAAGGTTGAGACTTTATAGTTGTTCGGGGTTTGTATTAAATATCGTACCCGCTAACCTCTATGGTCCATTTTGCTCGTCGTCCTGAGAGCTCGGGTTTATGCATAATATTCCTTAGCGGGTACGAGGTCACGACATATATAGGGTGACATTGAAAATATGGTTTTAGTTTCCTAGATGCGCTTGGCAAGGCAAGCGCTAATTTCTCTAGATGCGGATACCTCGTTTCGGCATCACCTAGGGTTCTACTAACATAATAGATGGGAAATTGAGTACCTTCTTCTTCCCGGACCAGGACTTCACGTACCTCTACCTCGGACACTGCCAAGTAAAGGTACAGTTGTTTGTTCGCCTTCAGGGTGCGCAGCAAAGGAGGGCTTGATAAGTATCATTTGAGTTCCTCCAAAGCCTTTTGGCACTCCGGGGTCCAAGCAAAGTCGCTCTTTTTCTTTAGCAACGAGAAAAATTGGTGGCTTTTGTCCGACGACCTGGAAATGAATTGGCCCAATGCGGCTATTTGCCCGGTCAGCCTTTGCAATTCCTTGACGTTGTTGATCACGGTGATATTTTCTATGGCCTTTATCTTAACTGGGTTGATCTCTATTCCCCGGTTAGATATTATGAAACCGAGGAACTTGCCCGAGCTGACTCCGAAGGCACACTTCTACGGGTTCAGATTTATATTGTATTTTCTCAGTATGTCGAAGGTTTCCTGCAAATGTTTCAAATGGTCCATTACTCGCATGGGCTTACCTAGCATATCGTCAATATAAACCTCCATTGATTTCCCTATTTTTTCCTCGAACATTCGGTTAACTAGGCATTGATACATGGCACCGGTATGTTTTAACCCAAATAGCATCACGTTATAACCCGCGAGTACCGTGATACTTGCATATCAAATTGTGATCCCTCTGTGCAAGATCGTACTGGAGTGGCCTCGGCCACTTGGTCTCTTTGATGCGATCGATAGCTGACACTATACCCGTTGCATCCACATTGAAGTTATATTCTGATAAACTCGGGGCATCTCTGACCCCGGGTGATTTGTCGAAACTATTTCTATTCACCAACCCTCGTTTTATTGGACCCTGGTCATTTCTTCTATCGTTCCTGGTCGGATAGTGACTGGGTCCATTTACCCTTCTATCTAAGTTGTAAGGTCGGTACCATTCTCAAGGCGGCCTCGACTCTTGATCCACTGTTCTTTTAGACTTGTCATTTGTTCTGTTGGGATAAATCGACCCCAAGGGAGCCCCTAATTGGTCGCCCTCGAGTCTGATCTTTGACTGGTACCTATTGTGGACATCGGCCCAGGTAACCGCTGGGTACTCTACCAAATTTTGCTTTAGTTGTTGAGACGCAACCGAACTTTAGGGGGTGAGCCCATGAGTAAATGCCTGAATGGCCCAATCGTCTGCAACCGGAAGGAGGTCCATTCATTCAATCTGGAATCTTGACACGAATTCCTTAAGCATCTCGTTGTCCATTTGCTTGACTTTGAACAGATCCGATTTTCTTGTCTCAACTTTAATAGCACCGGTGTGGGTTTTAACAAAGGCATCTGCAAGCATAACAAACGAATCAATAGAATTTGGAGGTAAGTTGTGATACCATATCATTTCTCTCTTGGACAAGGTTTCTCTAAATTTCTTCGGCAATACGACTCGATATCGACATCCTCAAGGTCGTTGCCTTTTATTGCGCATGTGTAGGAGGTCACGTGCTCGTTTGGATCTGTGGTCTCATCTCATTGTATTTGGGAATATCGAGCATTCGGAACCTTTTCGTAATTAGCTTTGGTTCCGCACTCAGGGGGAAAGACTTCTAAATGAAGTTTTTGGAATTGGGTCCTTTCAATATCGGAGGTGCTCCCGGGATCTTATCGACCCTCGAGTTGTAAGTTTTCACTTTCTTATCGTTCGCCACTATCTTTTTTTGCCAGATTCCATCCACTTAGTAAATGCATCAAGCATCTTCATCACCTCGGAAGTTTCTGGGTCCGGACCCGTCGAGTTCTGTGATAATCCGTTCTTCCCTCTGAGTGTCTTTGCCAACTCGTTCCGGTTATGCCACGTTGTGTGCGTGATTTTGATTCTACAGTTGTGCTATTGCAATTTACTAAGCTTGAAACATCTCAAAAAGAAAACGCGAACCAACTTCATCACCTCCCCATTCAGGTGCCTCGCGAGCCGATGGCCGAGGTGCCCCATGAATGCTGATATCGGGATGAGTTGGTAGGTTGATGTTGATAGCAACTTGTGAATTGGCATCAACTAGGTCATCGATCGGAACGCCATTGAGGTCAACATGGGGTACGTTGTTGCTTGGCACCACGTTGTTATTTTCATCGTGGTGGCCTGATTCAGCGTCTACACTTAAGTGAGCATATTGGGAGTTTGACATATTAAATAATCCTGAAATCAAATTTCAAAGAACAAGTGTAAAATAGAGTGTGTTATAAAGATTCGTATTACATCATCACTATTAACCTTAGCCCCACGATGAGCGCCAAACTATTTACCCTTAAAATAGATAATAATTAAGTTTGTACGCGATTTAAAAAATACGTGGTTTAATTCAACACGAATGATCAAAGATCAATAAATAACTGAATTAAAAAGAAATAAAACAATCAAACCAAGTGTGGTAAAGTAATTAAGCCTGGCGTTAGACCCAAATATTAAAGATCGGTTTCAGTCGAGCCTTCGGAATAAGGCTCGGTTGCAACTAAATGGATGAACAGTTGAAGAACACTTGAACGATTGCAGAAAGCCAAAAATAAACTTTATTGCTTTGATATATGCATACCAATAGTGACCCCATAAAATGAAAAGGTTCTCCCTCTTATATAGGATGAGAGTTTTAACCCTAATATAAGTCTAAATAAGGTAAAAAAAACTATTTCCTTCCTTTCTCTCATGAAAACACGATCTACAGCCAATACCGAGTGTGATCCGCGTCATAATATCTGGTTGATGGCGAATATTTCGGCTCTCCGTTTGTTTCTTTAATTGTTTCTTCCTTTACCCTTAGTTCTTCATATTGCTCGAGCTGGAATCTCTCAGGGTTCGGCCATGCTCGATTCCCCACATGTCATCTATCCGCTCCTGGTTTCGATCTGCGGGCACCGGGCACCCTCGGCCCTACTCGAGCTAGTGACGAGTAGCGTTGTTCCACGCTTCTCAACGGAAAATTGGGGGCAACTTTATCCCCGATTTTCCCCGTACACAAATATGATAAAAGAATATTTTAAAATATCGGTCAAACTTCACACAGTTTGACCTTCGATAAGCAAAATGTGTCATCTAAATTGAGACGGACGACACGGACGAAGTAACTGAGAAGACTCTTAGTGGCGAATAGAAAAGAAGGCCATACATTATCGCAGCAAAAATGGTCATCTTGTTGACTTACACTTCTCTTTCTTCGTTCATCCGAAATCGACGGCGAGGATCTTTCTGATCATCTTCTTCATCCTTTGATCAAGAAAAAAGGATATAGATGTGTGATGCTTTCCAATGATGCAGAATTCTATGCCCTATTTTGCACAAAACAGAAATTTCCAACTATCTTTCTCTCTCTCATTAATTCAGTGATTCTCTTCTCTTAAATACTCCTACTGCTATTTAATGTTACTATATGTTTCCTTTTCTTTATCTGTGAAATGTTAGCACAAAAATTCCTCTATTTTAAAGTCCTCGAGATTTGTTTACTTAATCTCTGGAATCTTTAACCAATGCATTACCCATCCAGCTCATTCATCTCAGAATATATGTTCTTCTTCTAAACTTTTCCTTCCATATCAATATACATATTCAAAGAAAAAAATCTTTGATTGATCTCTTTCCATCCACTGCTGTAAACACTATTCTTTTTGACTACCAAAACCAACTTCTGGGCTGGATTTTCAACAATGGGTTGTAGGAATTCGAAGCCAAAGGTATGCCAAAAATGCAAGACACAATATTCTCCAGTGCACCGAAGCTACTCAATGTATAAAGATTTTCCTACTAATACTAACACTAATGGTAGCTTTCATCTGGTCTCTCTCACTTCCTCAACATTAGGATCCCTGAGGCTTGATCCACTGAACAAAAGTATCAAAGATGATCTTTCGTTGTTCGAAAAGGGTGGCAGCGATGAAGGGAAGATTTATAAAGAAGAGTTCGAAATGGGGTTGATTGAGGCAAAGACATGGTCCCAAATAATCAATGAGAAAATACCCAAAGTGGTTCCTAAGACGCCCATTACAACTCCTGGCGAGCCAGAGAGTGTTAATGTTTGGGAATTGATGAAAGATTTGGAAGATATTGATCCTATTAAATCGCCTCATCATGTTCGTAGCTTTTCTTTCCATGTCTTTCCAGATCCTTATGATCATCAACTTACTCCCAGACTGAAATCAAACTATGAAGTAACAGAGTATAAATTGGTGCAACATGGTAAAGACAAACTGGTTGTTTACTTCACAAGCCTAAGAGGGGTAAGGAAAACATACGAGGACTGTTGTCATGTTCGGATGATTTTGAAGGGATTAGGTGTTAAGATCGACGAGAGAGACATATCAATGCATGCAGGGTTCAAGGAGGAGTTGAGAGAGTTAGTAGGAGAGGGATATAGTGGTAGGGGTTTGCCTAGGGTATTTGTGGGGAGAAAATACATTGGTGGGGTTGATGAAATATGCAGAATGCATGACGATGGGCAGCTTGAGAAGGTAGTAGAAAGCTGCGAAAAGGCAGAAGATGGAGTTTGCGAGGCCTGTGGAGATATGAGGTTTGTGCCATGTGAAACATGCTATGGGAGTTGTAAAGTATACTATGAAGCAGAGTATGATGAAATAGATGAGTGTGGCTTCCAACGATGCCCAGATTGCAATGAGAATGGGCTAATACGATGTCCAATTTGTTGTGATTAGATTTCATCAGTTTTATGGTGCTCTCATGTTCAGGTGCTTGCTGTGGATTCTCACATGACCAGCTTTGTATTACAAAGACAAAGATGGGCGGCCAATCTAAGGCGGTTTTTACGGGTTCAACTGAACGCATTGCTTTTCTCTTGAACTATGTATACATATGCAAAAGCATTTAAAATATGTACACATAATAAGGACTCTAGATCTTGAACTTTCTGCTGATGGGCAAGGTTCAAGCACCAAAACTGATACGAATATCAGTTAGCCACCAGATTATCCCACTTCTCTAGCACAATAGTAGCAGTAGTGGAAGAGTAGTAGCACTTATCCAACAAAAAGACATGATTGAAAAGGTTCAAATAATGGCTTTTGCAGCATTTGGCATAAAATGGAGTCCAGTTTGTTTGATGGATTAAGAAGCTTTACTAAGCAGAGGCAACTTGACAGTAGTTGAATCATCTGAACAATAAATACTATAGTAACTTAAAGTAGTTCTGAGGATTTTAAACCACATGAAAGTAACAATCTCTTCCCCGATTTTTCCCACTCTAATGTGGTCTGATCCTTCCTCGGCCACCGCGGATAGCTGGAGCTTAGTGTCCCGAGCTATCCTTTTCTTTTTAGGACTTGCAATTCTAGGCACATTCAAAGCAGTAGTGTGCTTACAACTCCACAATGAAGCAAGTTAACTTTGCCAATAACACGTATCATTAACGAATGACTAATACCAGCTTACTGAAAAACATGACATGGATGATCAACTTGCAATGCAGGCAAGCGTATTAGTTACTCCACATTGTACTTCCACGAGGAAAAGAAATCAAATCGATTGATTGTAAAATATCAACATATTACCACAATGTATTAATCATATTTAGATCATGTAGCCCACTCTCATTTGAACACCGCAAACTATATCTAGCTAAAACTTTTAATATTCACATTCATGTAAAATCTTAAGTCTCCATGAAAAGCTTAAAACCTTTGAACAACTCCATATTGGCAATGTTGCGTCAACCCTATTTACCTCTTTAGTCCATTTGCAGAGGAACTGTTTCTTTTTTGACACCATTATTACCCAAGTCAGCAGCCACCTTGGCAGCCCGATTCAGAGCATCTGAAACCCAAAGAGCTCCCTTGGAGAAGTAACTACTGTTAACCACAGTAGTTGCAGCAGCTACGGCTGTTTTCCCTGTAAAAGACGCAGCGGACATGGTAAGTTCAGAAAGATGGTACTTCTTGTCCACGGATTTAACAGTCTCCATGCCAGACTGAATTCTATCAGTAAGCCCCACTCTCTTGCTGAGCTCTGCCACCTTTGCTGCTGCGGTGGATGAGACCTGATATGATTCATCAAATGCTTTGGCTTTGGTTAGCGCATCCTTACTTAGTTCATATCCCTTCACTATCATGGTTTCAACTACGTGCTGTGCCATAGTCACAGCTTCTCCAGGAGTTGAAACGAACTCATTTGTGTGAGTGCCCTGCTAGTTTACAGCAAAATTTCAACAATGACATCAGGAAAGCTGCAGCATAAAGAGAACCCCTGGAAAGTGGAAATAGGGGAACAAAAAATAAAAAAGTATAAAATTTCTTTACATTTACCCTCATAGACAAGCAATAAGAGAGTTGATTGTCCAGAAAAAACAAGGTAAACTTTAATTAAAAAGGAGATCAAACGCAAAAAACTACCGCATAGCTGCTTCCATTCTCCACCTTATCCCTAGAGTTATTCCAAGGATCAAATTCATCTATTTGTGCTTCCAAGCGAGATACACGAACACATTGATCTAATATAGTGGATCCCTGAATCAAGGTTAACAAAGTTAATAATAGGTTAAGAATTTATCTGACACATAATATCATGTATAAATTTAGTGAATGTATAGCGGCTGAGAAATAATTCTAGCATTTATATTTGATGTGCATATGTACAATTAAAAACAGAGAGAACAAGAAAAGGAAGAAGAAGAGCACAAGAATAGCACACAGAGCTATTTAAAAAGAATTTCCAGATGTTGCACAAGCTGTTAATTTATGTTCAGCTAGCAATCAAAAGGCTAGTGCACTTACAAGTGGGAGAAAAACAAGAGACCAATCCAAATTAGAAGTTCAAACAATATAAAGCAAATTGACGTCTAACTACTTAGGAATCTAGATATAAATACAAATATAGTATTTTTTTTCATTGACGCTTCTAAAAGTGGAGTTTAGCAAGCTACTGCTAGCTCCTATTTTGGTAGGTTGACTACCTCTCCCTGTTAAAACAGAGAATTTAAAAGCTTTGAAGGAGACAGTAAGAAGAAGCTAACAAACATCATTCCAAGATTTTACTGGTTAATTTTAACTTTTACAGAAGTTGCTGAAGACGATCCCATTGATGTACATCTTGGTGGTATCAGAAGTATAAACTTGACCCAACGGCACGTAAACATGCAGCATTAAATATTTTACATAATTCACCTTGCAGTTTATTTCTGCTAAATAGAACTATCCTAACAATGGAGTAAAGGAGAAACTTACACTAAGTAATATAGCAGTTTCCAGCGCATAAGTATCTTTGAATGTAACATAGGCTATAGAAGCATGTTCGCCCATCATGCAGCATTAAATATTTAGCATAATTCACCTTGCAGATTATTTCTGCTAGATAGAACTATCCTAACAATGGAGTAAAGCAGAAACTTACACCAAGTAATATAGCAGTTTCCAGCGCATAAGTATCTTTGAATGTAACATAGGCTATAGAAGCATGTTCGCCCATCATGCAGCATTAAATATTTAGCATAATTCACCTTGCAGATTATTTCTGCTAGATAGAACTATCCTAACAATGGAGTAAAGCAGAAACTTACACCAAGTAATATAGCAGTTTCCAGCGCATAAGTATCTTTGAATGTAACATAGGCTATAGAAGCATGTTCGCCCATCATGCAGCATTAAATATTTAGCATAGTTCACCTTGCAGATTATTTCTGCTAGATAGAACTATCCTAACAATGGAGTAAAGCAGAAACTTACGCTAAGTAATATAGCCGTTTCCAGCGCATAAGTATCTTTGAACGTAACATAGGCTATAGAAGCATATTCGCTCAATCTACATTCAGTAAAGGCAACTATTAAAATCAGGAAAGGGTAAACATCGTCCAGTTTTTTCATACAACTAATTAATAAAAGCATCAAGCTATATGTATCTGTTCCTTTCTTTAAAGTTTAAACATTCTACTGACTAAAAAAGTTTGGGATGCCTTATAGTGAGTATCAGGACATCGACATCATATCCTTCGCTAGACAGTAGAGGCACATGCACATGGGTTTGCTAATATCGAACATTATCAGATGCATGACCTTGTTCTCTCTACTGCAAACGTCTCAGAAATTTCAACCATAATAGAAACACATGCTCTCTTCTTGACATTTCAATATTCGATATATTCAGAAGAAGTAACCGGGGAAAAAAGTGGCAAGATGTGTCTTATTTGACATATTTCGTAAGACACAACTGCAGTAGGCCATGCAAACATAATAATATTGATTAGGCATTCAGCCAGTAACTCTTAAATTATAGAGCAATTCTGGAAACAAATTAAATCACCAAGAAAAAGTTTACAGCACCAATAATAATCAGCTCGAAATCACAACTATGCTGCAGCAGAAATTGCAAACTCAAAACGAATGAAAATTTACCTGATGATCTCTACTTGTTCAATTTCACCACAGTGAGAGAAAAATTCATAGACATCTTTCTCCGTAGCTTTGGGAGAAAGACTTGTGACTTCCGCAGTGTAATGACCCAGATACATGGATATAGACACAGTTCAAACTCCCAAAATAAAGGTGAATTAACCTGATTAAATCAAGAATACAAATCATTCAGAGCTTCTGAAAGAACTGATATGAGCTAAACATAAAAGTTAAACAAAGTCCATTAATATCCATCACCACATTAATACTTGTTAATTAAGGCTAATGGAGGCCACTTTTAAGGGAAGGAATACTGCAAATACTAAACTTCCATATTTACAAATACTAGTTTCCTACGAGTATTCGAGATGCTGAACTTCAATATTTGAATTTCAAGTGAAATATTAAAATATTATCTGAAGGTGCAGTTTAAGTGAAATACTCTAATTTTCCTACCATCATAAATCTTCAAGTTTTTTCCAAGCAAGTTCATAGCCAAACACAGTGTCAACTTCCACAAACTTTTTATCAACTTCAATTTCAAATATTCCTTTTTTCTTTTCAACTTCAACTGAAATATTGTCCAAATGCCTACTAAACAATTTGACCTCGAAGAGAAATTAGGGGTTCTAACAAAAGCATAGATTTTCCAAATCTACCAAGATATTCACGAATAAAATGGGAAGGTGAAAAGTTCCTAGAATTGGAGATAATACACATTAGGGTAAAGCGAAGGGATTTCAGTACCCAGAATCCGTACCTTAAAAGGAGGAACGATTGAATTTACAAATGCATCTAAAGTTCAATAAACAAATAGAAATTCATTTATTGGAATTGGAATTGGAATTTCCGCATTAAAAATTGATACGAATCAGAATTTACCTGATAATATGGTCAACGGAATGTAGCAAGTTGGCATCTCTGAACCGCAAATGCAGCCGTGATACATACAATCAACTCTTATACTCCTATACTATAGAAATGCTATAATAATATACCTCTTGTATTTTAAAATTAAAATAGGGAAAAGGCCCAAAAATGATCTTGTGTTATTCGAAATGCATCAATTGTAATCCCGTTTAAATTTGAGTCCACAAATGACTCTGCCGTTATAGAATGGGTCTAATAATGTCCGTGTGTTATTCGAAATAGATCAATTATAACCCTCATTTAAATTTGAGCTCACTAATGACCCTCCCGTTAAAGAATGGGTCTAATACTGTTATTTCCCTCAGTTAGTAATGATTAGGGGTGTAAATGGATATTTAAAACCCAACTAAACCGACAGAACTGTACCGTGCCGAACCGATTTTTAGGTTTCTTTTAATAAAACCGTAGGTTTTTATATAAACATTTAATTGTACCGATAATTAGGGCAGGTTTTTTATTTTATAAAAATAAATCGAAAAAATATTGAACCGCACCGAATAAATTTAAATGTGAATATATGTTTCACATGTAAATATACCGGACCTAGACCCAGTATAAATATATGTTTCACATGTAAATTTATTCGATACGGTTCGATATTTATATATTAAGTTTAAAAATAATAATGGGTCTAATATTTATAAAGAATGGGTCGAATAAGTTTAAAATTTGAGCCTAATAATGACCTTGTCGTTAAAGAATGGGTCTAATATTTATATTTGTAAATAATAATGTACAAATTTTAATATATTATTATTTTTAAACTTAATATATAAATATATGTTTCACGTGTAAATTTATTCGGTACGGTTCGATATTTTTTCGGTTTATTTTTATAAAATAAAAAACCTATCCTAATTATCGGTACAATTATAGATTTAGAAACCTAAAAATCAGTTCGGTACGGTACGGTTTAGTCGGTTTTTAAATATACATTTACACTCCTAATCATTACTAACTGAGGAAAATAGCAGTATTAGACTCATTCTTTAATGGCATGGTCATTAGTGGGCTCAAATTTAAACGAGAGTTATAATTGATCCATTTCGAATAACACAAGGGTTTTATTAGACCCATTCTATAACGGCAAGGTCATTTGTGGACTCAAGTTTAAATGGGGTTATAATTGATCCATTTCGAATACCACAAGGTTATTTTTGGGCCTTTTCCATTTAAAATAAAGCACTTATGTCCCTATATTATGGATATATTCTTGAGTGATATTTTCATTTTGCTAAGGTGAATAATTAGGTGTATTAAAATACAGTCAAAAAAATTATGTATTTGGTTATATGAAATTTAAGACGGACGATAAACATTTATTTGATTATTTGATTAAAATAGATGATAAACATAAACATGTATCTTTCAAAACATTTAAATGGGAAATGACTCACAAATCACTTACTCCCCCGTTCTAATTTATGTGAACTTGTTTGATTGGGCACAAAGTTTAAGAAAAAATGAAGATTTTTGGAATTTGTGGTCCTAAACAAGTCAAAAATGGGCTCAGAGTATTTGTGTGGTTATAAAAACTTCTCATTAAGGGTATAATTATAAATTTAAGCAAAATTATTTCCAAATTTAGAAATGGTTCATTTTTTTTTGGAAAGGACCAAAAAGGAAATAGGTTCACATAAACTGGAACGGATACCAATAATATTAATAACTCTATTGGATGTTAAACACGTACACAATTTGTATTTTCTAAATTATAATATTTTATTATGTAGAATTTCTCGTTTTAATTTTGTTTGCTATTTATTATTCCACTTCAAATTATCTGTAAATTTTTTGGTGGAAGATTTCCATTATATAATGGGTTTAATAGTTTTTCCATTCTAATATTCCTTTTCTTATACACCAAAACTTTTTTCAATAATTCAGTGACAAACACTTAGTTGCTTCTCAAATTAGGACAGGGGTCGCAGATTTGCTGTCTCTGGAATAAAAATTTGGACCACAAGGAGAGAGAGATCTCAACGTCAGTAATTTAGTGCCATAATTTACATTTGACTGAAATGGCAGTCCTTTAATCTATAATGGCCCATCCCTTCCTGCACGCCTCTAATTGGCTAAGAGTTCCGAGTTCTTACAATTGCTGGTCCTAATTAAGATAATGTTTCACATTGGTTATGTAAAGAAATCTAAAACTGGTTTGCACTGATTATGTGCGACTCTGTCATGAATCTAAAATTTTGATCATGGATTCTTGATTCCTTCTTTTCTATGCTTTAACTTACTTTTTGTTTTGACTTTTTTGCAACGAACTATTTCCCAATCTCTAATAATGCAGGGTGACATTTTTGTCCAAGAATTTAAATTCTATGCACAGATATTATAAAGTATTTTTATATTTTTAGTACAATTTAATTGTTATAACAGGGTATTTCTTCATTTTCTAGGTTAATACATTAAAGTGATAGCTAGTGCATATAACTCAAACTCTTTTATTTGCAGAATTTGTATAAACAATAATAACTAATTAATGTGCTATAGACATATTTCAGTTTTAGCTTGGGTAAAGAAACAGTAGAATATAGTTCCTAAATAACGTCCAATATTGATCTTGGTAGTTGGTACAGCTGGTAGAATATAGTTACGTTCCTAAATGGTTGCCCGATCAATTATTTGAATAGGAAAATCTAGTAATTTCAAGATGGATCAGATGTGCCAATTACCATCTATATATATATTAATTGCCTCTACAGTATAGAGGCATCAGTTTTCAACACACGACAGTGATATGACACAGGTTTCTGGATTTGCTGTCGTCTCCTCGATCTCCATAGATGAATCTTAATTCGTCAATGGGGACTCATCCTTTTCACAATCCCTGCATAATGTTTTTATTTGAATGAGACATTATCAAGACACAAAGACACCCTTTTGATGAAACACAAAGCCGATGTCCCTTTCTCTTCTCCTTGAAAATGCACCACAACTATGGCTTTGCTTTCTCCAGCCTAGCTAACATTATTCCCCCTTTATTTACATCCTCATTTTGAACGGCTTGCTTAAGTCATATAGATCGTTAGTTTAAAGAAATTTTTACACTATCATGTCATCCAAAGAATATCTATGGTAAAACTTCTCAAAATATGAAATTTAAAATTTAAAAAATAAGATAAGTTACATGCTACTTACAATACGTACTATAGGTAAAAATGACATAAAGTACAGTGACGATATATATAACTTAACTCTTTTCAATGATGAAAGAGCTTAGTGTGAACGCTGATGTGATCTCCTTACGAAGTCTTCGTTGTCTATAATTACTAGTATATACGGTCAAAATCGAGCTCGTGGTGTATCCTAGCCTCCGACGTGGTAAGCGAGGCTCGAGATATGATAATAAAGGACTGAAAATCGATCCCAAGTCCCACCGGGCTAG